TGTCTCAAAGAAGGTAAAAATTTCCAAAATTAGCAAAAATGCTTTCAGAGCATAGCTTACTTTAGCACTCTACTCCTTTATTGCTTGAAACTGATGCATTTAACGATTTTCTTTTAATTTTACCCAGCCTTTAAGTGTTTTTTTTTTTTTTTTTTAACAGCAGGTTGGTCCCAGTAACTTAGCACACTATTAGAGAACAAAAATATCTTCCTTATTTCTTTTCAAAGTAAAGTTGGGAACGACAGAAGAAATGGAAGGAATCAAACCAAAAGAGAATAGCTGGTAAACTCAGAAACAGAAAATGCTAATCTCTTGTTTAAGGAGTTTGGCAGTGAGGAAAGAGAAAACAAATTTGGCAGAACATCAGGGCTAGAAGAAAATGTTGATTTCATTTTGTTTTAAAAGAAGGAGAAAGAGGGAAAAAAAGTGGAAAAGGAATATAATGAGAATAAATGGATGCTAGACTATTGAACCCAGAAATTCTTATCCTAGGTATATGCCCAAGAGAAATGAAAATATATGACTATACAAAAACTCATACATGAGTGTTCATAATAGCATTGTTCCCAATAGCCAAAAGGTAGAATGAACCCAAAATGTCCATTGACTGATGAAGAGATAAAATGTAGTAAATATATCTACATTACAGAATATTTTGTAATTATAATATTATATAATTCTACTTACATGAAATGTTCAGGATGGGCAAATACATGGAAACAGTAGAACAGTAGTTGCTTATGGGTGGTAGACATGGGAAGCTTGCAGGTGATTACTAAAGCATACGGGGTTTCTTTCAGAGTTGATGAAAATATTCTAAGTGTGTGGTGATGACTGTACAACTATGAATATTCTGAAAACCTCCAAACTATCCTCTGTGAATGAAAGAATTGTACTGCATGTGACTATATCTCAATAAAAGTATTACAAAAAATTCATCTTTGTATATATGGAATTATATGCTAGATTTTTTTGGCGGTGCTGAGGTTTGAACTCAGGGCCTTGCACTTGCCAGATAGGCACTCTAACAGTTTAGCCATGGTCCCAGGCACCCAAAATTTCTTTTAAGAGCTTTTCCTGATAATCAAATCTCATTCTGCATATTTCTTTTTATTGTTTATCTATCCACTCACCACTTATTTTCTAAATATATACCTTTTTTGTAAATCATTAATTATGTAACATTTGTTTCGAAGCGTTAATTTGAACTTGAAAATTAACCTACTTTTCCTTCTTGCTTTTCGAAACTTGACAGCAGCCAGATTTATTAAATTCATCCCATAAAGATTGTAGTCAATAAAGAGCTGTAGGAGGTAGGGAATATGTGCTTCATGAGGCTGGTAAAATTTATTCATTATGGCTCCACTTTGCAAAAGTTCACATATCCTAAATAAGAAAAAAAAGTTAATCATAAGATTATATTCTCTGTAATGTTAAATAATTAAACAAAAATAGAGAACAAAACACCTATCAGCTCACAAAAATTTCATTTCAATTTTACTAGAAATTTGTATTTTGTTGGAAATTAAAAGTTTGAACCAATGTTTTAATGTAAGTATCAAGTTCTGGATGACAAAAAAAATTCATGGATAAAGAATATTTTGACTTAAACCAATTTAATAATAACTATATTGGAAAAAAAAATCTCATAAAGATTTTAGGGTTGGTGTGGTGGAACGTGCTGTTAAGACTACCAGCTACTCAGGAAGCTGAGGCAGGAGGATAGTGAGTTTGAGACCAACCTGAGCAACACAGAAGACTCCATCTCAAAACGGGAAGGGGCTTTTAAAAGCATTTTTCTTTTAAAAATTACAAAAATAACATTGCAAAGACAACATAGAAATTGGAAAAAGAAAAAAATTACTCATAATCCTGCTACTCAGAAGTGTTATTATTTTAATATTTTTCTTTCCTGAGTTTTTTTTCTTCATGATGGGAAGTTGCAATAGGCAATTATAAATAGCAAAATAAGTACTATGCAAGGGAATTATATTAAACTTAGAAGGGATGCAAGTCAGATAGGGTTAGAGTGGTTCCTGCAAAGCCTTCTTAGAGAAAAGTCTAAGCAGGAGATTAAATGAACACGTTCATCTCTTTCTCTGAAGAAAGGGAAAATTATTTCATGTAAATAAAATTGCACATGTCAAGAGTTATAAGAAAGCATAAAAAAGACTGAAAAAAGAAGGGCTAAAGAATAACAGAAGTCAGATCATACACAGCCTGTTAAAAGACATTTGAAAAGGTAGTAGCATTTGCCTGCAAATTGAACAGCAGGAAAGTGAAATAATCACATTAAAGAAAGCACAAGAACAGAGGGAGCACCTGTATAAAAACTAAGGTAATGGTAGGTGAAATGAGGATCATGGCAATGTCTTAATTCAGGAAATCTACAAGGGTAAAATGGTCATGGTTTGACAAGTAACTACATGTGAAAGGCTGAAGTAGAAAAAAGAATGGAAAAGACACTTAGATGTGTGTTGTGTTTATCGAAATAGGAAGGAATGTAAGAAAAAAAAAGGTTTGGGTTTGGTTTGTTAGTTTGAGAGGGAATAAGAATAAACTCAGCTTTAGATAAGCTGGAGTTTAGTATAGTAGAATGTCCAGGTAGATTCTATAATACTAGAAATGAATGACAATGAAAATTAGGTTAAGAATAATTTTATTAATACTGAAGAAGCAGCCAACATTTTTTAACATTTCAATTAGCATATATTAGTTGTACAGAAGGATTTCATTGTGACATTAACAGCAGCTAACATTTTTGAGCACTGTGTACTAGATACTCTGCTAAGTGCTTTAAATGCTTAATCTTTAGTAATCCTCACTACAAACCTATAATACTATAATTTCCATTTTATAAATAAAAAAATTGAATCTTAAAGTGTTATCAAAAACCACACAAAGAATGGAAGAACTAAAACTCAAATCCAATTTTCTCTTACTTGTGACTCTCACTCTTAAACACAGTAGGTAGCTTATCCAGTAGGTAGCTTGATATATTTATTGGAAGTCCTGGAGAAAAAACTGGGCTATTCATAAACATTTGAAAGTCAAATGCATAAAGATTAACAAAATTAAAATGAACATGTAGTAGTAAATAGGGCTGCAGAGAGAGGATAAAGTCTAGAGGGAAAAGATAAATGCCTAAGACGGTACCCCATCAATTACAGATACTAAAAAGGAACCAAAAAATAATGGCAGCAACATGAATGATTAGACAGACATGAGGAAAATTTAATTAAAGGAGGTATATATCACAGAAGTCAACATTTGGTACTGTTTAAAGGCCTCCTAAATATTACTACCAGGTCAAAAGATAAGGATGAAAAAATTGGATTTAGCAATACAGAAATTATTAATGAAAGCAACTTTTCTGGTTTTTTTTTTTTTTTTTTTTTTTTGGTGGCACTCTGAACTCAGGGCGTCATGTTTGCTAGGCAGGCACTCTTACCACATGAGCCACTCTGCCAGCCCAGTGAAAGAAATTTCAGTGCAATGGCTGGTGTAGAAGTCATACAGGAGTATATTAAAGAGTGAATTTTAAAAAAGAGAGAGAGAGAATGAATGGTGTTGGGTGTGGCAGCTCAGGTTGCAATTTGGGAGATGGAGATCAGGTGGATAACAGTTTAAGGCCAGGCTTGGCAAAAAGCAGGCACAAGCAAGAGTGTGGTTCAGGCAGGCCCAGACATAAAACAGACCCTATCTCAAAAATGGCCAAAGCAAAAAGGGCTAGGGGAGTGGCTTATGTGGTAGAGCACCTGCCTAGTGAGGGCAATGATGAGCTCAACCCCCGGGACCACTTAAAAAAAAAAGAGTGACTAGAAGGCAAGACATTTGATACACAAAGCAAATAAATCCTTCAAGAAGATATATCTATGAGTATGAATATGTGTGTAAAATTAGTAGTTTTATTAATATTTAAATGATGCAGAAAAGGGAAATGGGGATAACTGATAAAATGGAAGAGGCCCTTGAAAAGGCCAAGAAAAATGGATCTTGAGTCTTAGAAGTGTGTATGTGTGTTGAGTGTGTGGGAGGTGTGTGTGGGGAGGGGTGTGTGTGTGTGTGTTTGGTAGTACATATTTATACAGTTTAAGGGCCCTTTGGTAAGAAATTAAAATTTTTTTTGGCTCCAGGGACTCCTTTTCATTCTTAAAAAATTGAGAACAAGGCCGGAGGCATGCTCAAGTGGTAGAGCACCTGCCTATTTTGCATGAAGTCCTGAGCTCAAATCCCAGCACCGACAAAAAAGTGAAAAAGAAAAAATTATTGAGAACACAAAAGAGTTTTCTTTATGTGGTTTCCATCTATTGATATTTATTATACTAGAAATAAAAACAAAAATTTATTTATAATTTTTAAATAACAATTATGCATTAAAATAACATTTTTATGAAAAATAACTATTTCCAAATACAAAAATAATTTGCTGAGAAAAGAGACATATACTCTTTTATGTATTTACAAATCTTATTTATTTATTTTTAATTTATTAACAGGGCCTTGCTATGTAGCTGAGGCTGGCCTTGAATTCCTGGGTGCTTAGATTATAGGCATATATCAACCACACCCAGAACAAATCTCTTAACAGAAGACAGATTCTGTTCAGTATGCTGCAATATATTGCTTTGGTTGAAACATATGAAAATTGGCCTTACTTAATATGTAGTTAGAAAAAGAATAATTTAACAGCCTTTTTGGATAAATGTCAGTATTCTTCTTCCATATTATATGTAAACCCAAGTGTGGTAGTTTCTTAAAGGTTAGCTACAAGGTGGAATCTGAAACCAAATCAATGAAATTTCTATTGTTCTATCTTGCACTTTGAATTTTTTAAAGCCCATGAATGATTTTCTAACTGATCGTTTTGGAAATAGAGATCCACTAAGTTATACAGATTTTTTTAAAAAAATGTTTGTTAAACAACATGAAAAAAAAATCATTTGTTAATATCATCTGTCTTATCAGAAAAATCTGTAAATACTATAAAATTAAGTTCATAGTAGCAAATAAAGTTTGCTTGAGAGCTCAAATGTTATCCTTGGCAAAATACTAGTTGTTTTCCTTTGAGTGACATGCTGACTTTGTTCATTTTTAAGAGACTATCTGTCAAACACACAAATTGCTAGAATTAGTTTTTCTTTCAAGTGAACATACTGTTCAAGTAAAAAAAAAAGGGGGTTAGTTCAGCTTGCAACTAAAAACAATGATATGTAAGTATTTCTTTCAGACAATCAAAGTATTTCGGCACACAGATATGTTTCATGCTCACTTTCATTTTGTCACATAAGAACTTCTACTGTGTTATGGATATGCTTATGGAAAACTTAATTTAAAAAAAAAGCTGGGAGGGCTTAATGGTGGAAAAATACACTGATTACTAATTAATGTCATTACTCTGACTCTAGCCAAGGTGTTAGGAGTTTTATCCACCATCAGTAAGCAAGTGAAAAAAAAAAAGGCAAATCCTATCTTAATACTGTTATAAAAATAGTTTTGACCATTTAGATCCTGAAAGGTTTTGAGGTATCCCCAGTTCAAACAGACCTAATGACAAAGAGGATCTCCTGAATAAAAAATATTCAGCACTCCTCCATGCCTACTTTTACCTTAGTAAACGAATGAATGAAAAATCTTGTTATGAACCCAAAAGGATGCTGAAATCTATATATGTGCTCTCAATAATAGGGTACCATTGAGAGTACCATTGGGAGACAGAGAGACTAAGGGAAGAAAAATCTCACTCAGCCAACAAAAAATTAGGATATAAAATTTCATTAATTTCTAATAAGGAGTCCACAGGAAGCTTTCTCAGAGTACTGTCCCTTTAACAAATTGCTCCTTATAGAGTAAGTTTATCTTTAGTACTGAAAATCTGGTCTGTCCAATAGGGTACTAACATTAATATAAGGCAGCTATAATCTATCCTTACATAATTCTATGAACTAAGACAATAAACAAGTACCTTTAAAATACCTTTCTTAGAATTCAAGCCATGGGCCTCTCTCTATACACATACGTACATTTTATCATCTCTTCTTTAATAAGGCTACAAACTATATAGGCCTTTTTTCCAGTTTTTTTCTTTTTATTATTAAACTATTTAAGTGATATTCATATCTTGATTTCATTTATCTTTGTACCTTTTTACCATTGCAGGATTGTAAAGATAGATCTTCATAAAGTGTCTTTCCTTCTCATGATAGCCATAAAAAGGCCTGAAATATAAGAAAAAGATATTTTAAATTATTTCCATCATTCAGAGATGAAATAATGTACCTTATTGCCCTAATTAAGCTCAGCTGGCCTAATTCAGTCTTCTTTACATTTAATACTATACAAAAAACAACTTAAAGATCCCCCAAGACCTTTCAATTAAACTTATCAGAGGTTAACATAGGAAATACTAAAGCATTTAAAAAGGATTTTAAAATACTACTTTGAAAAAATCTCAGGACAAAAAGAACAGCAAACCATTTCTACCTTAATCTCAATTGTCATGATTCTATTCAAAAGTTCCTCTTGCCTATCCACCCACAACTCCCTAGAAGCAGAGAACAGCTTTGCCTGAGAGGTCTGGTCCACAACTAGGAACTCCAGTGACCCTCCTGTGGCCCCAAGAAGGGTTGAATGGCCTATTCTCTGAAGGCAGCCTCTTCTACCAACTCTCTGCCCTAGGAAACTTCTGGGTAGATATCTCTGAACAGGTAATCCTCCAGAGGCCAAGTCAAGTCATTGGTGTAGCTCTCAGGTATTGACAAGAGCACTGACTGGGGCAAACAGTTCAGCTAACCCCAGTGTAGCTCTTAGACACCGATAAGTAACCCATCCTATTCTCAGGCATACCCAGCTGAAATGACCACAGTGACCCAGTCCTAACATGATCCACAGAAACTGACAGGCACACCTCATTTTCAGCGGGGTGCACCAGATCCAACTTGAAGGAACAGTGTCTCAACTGGCAATGTAATCCCACAACCACTGCAGCTAGGCACCTAGATACTTGCAGACATTCCTGATGGTGATTAAAGCTGAAGAAACTACAAAGACATTATATTAACTCATTCACTGATAACCAAATTCAAGACAGCATGTCCAGTCAAAACTCTAGGACATATCTCTAGCAGCAAGTCAATGTAGGGAAACATGAAAAAACCAAGGTTAACAGTCTCCAAATGATCACAATTACTCACTAGCAAGAGTCCAAAGAAAAGGAAATGAACAAACTGCTTGACAAAGAATTCAAAAGAATGAATTTAAGGAAACTTAATGAAATATAACAAAACACAGACACAATGAAATTAGAGTAATTCAAAATATAAATGAGAAATTCATCAAATATAGAAACAATAAAGGAATCATTAAGAACCTTAGATGTAAAAAACATAAGAAATGAAATTAAATAGCAGAGCCTAATAGAGCCTAAAAGCAGAATTGAATAGGTAGAAGAAAGAATTTCCAAGCTTAAAGACAGGTCTTTTGAAATAACCCAGCCAGACTTACTTTGAATTAAAAGAATGAAGAAATCCTTCGAGACGTATGGAACACCACTAAGCAAGCAAACTTTCACCTTCTGAATATTTAGTAGGAAAAGGCATCAAAAATCTAGTAACAAATAATTGCTTAAAACTTTATACTAAGAAAATATGGACAGGCAGGACTCCAAAGCTCAAAGGACCCCTAATCTATTTGATTAAAAAAGACTATCTCTGAGGCATATTACAGTCAGAACAACCAAAACTCAGAGAAATTTCTAAAAATGGGCAAAGTATAAAATCACATTTAAGAGAATCCTATTGAAAAAGAGCAGACTTTTCAGCAGAAACATTATAGGCCAGAAAAGAAGGAATGATATGGTTAAAGTCCTGAACGAAAAAAAATTGTCAGCAAGAATACTATACCCAGCGAGGCTGGTTTTGGAAATGGAGGAAAAATACTTTTCAGGACAAGTAAAAACTGAGGAAACTCTTCACCACTAGTTGCTGTAACAAATGCGTAGAATTCTACACTAGAAGTGAAAAGATAACTACTATCATGAAAACATGCGAAAGTACAACACTTAACAGTAGGGAAGATACACAAAAAGGAAAGAAAAGATTCAAACCCAATCAATAAAGTATTTCTGTACCAGATACAAAAAGATAACTACTATCATGAAAACATGCAAAAGTTCAAAACTTAACAGTCGGAAAGATACATAAAAAAGAATCAAACCCCATCAATACAAAAAGTACTAAACAACAAAGATAAACAATGAGAGGAATAAAGAAACAAACGATACACAAAACAACAAAACATTCTGAACAGAATGACAGGATTATGTCTGTACTTATGAATAATAACATAAGCTAATCAAATTCCCTAGTTAAAAGATATAGACTGGATAAATGAAATATGACTTCAATAATATGCTGCCTAGAAGAAACTCCCTTGACACTAAAAGGGAAAGAATGGAAAAAGATACACCATGCAAAGGTGAAAGTGAGCAGATAAATTAGCTAAAATAGATTTTTAAGTCAAAAAGTATAAAAGGAGCTGGGTGCAGTGACTCATGTCTATAATCCCAGCTCAAGCATATAATCCCAGCTACTGGGGAGGCAAAGACTGGGAGAAATATGGTTGAGGCCAACCTGGGCAAAAAGTTAGGGAAATCCCATTTTTAATCAATAAACTGGGTGTAATGATGAGTGCCTGTGGTTCCAGCTACACAAGAGGCTGTTGGTAGGATTGTAGTCTGAGGCTGGCACAGAGCCTTACCTGAAAAATAACTAAAAAAACAAAAAAGAGATAGGGGCATGACTCAAGCGGTAGAAAGCTTGCCTAGCAAGTATGAGGCCTGGAGCTCAAACTCCAGTACTGCCCAACAGTGGCAGAACACACATTCTTTTCCACCAGCACATGGAGCGTTCTCCACAGGAGACCATGTTAGGCCACAAAACATATCAGCCAACTCAAAAAAAATCAAAACTATATGTATCTTCTCCTACAACAAAACTAGAGATTGACCCACTGGTCGATGAAGAAATCAAATTTAAAAATTTCAAGAAATTTAAAATTTAAAAATTTCTTGAAGCATATGAAAATGAAAACATACTAAAATCCATTGGATACAGCAAAAGCAGTGCTATAAGGGATGTTGAGAACTATTAAGTACCTACATGAAAAAAGAAAAAAAAGATTTCCACCAATGTTTATTGCAGCACTATGTACAACAGTCAAGCTTTGGAAATAGTCCAGATGCCCTAAAACTAATGAATGGATGAAGAAAATGTGGAATATATACGCAATGGAGTTTATTTACCATAAAGAAAAATGGAATAATTATGTTGTTTGCAGGTAAATGGATGGAATTGGAGATCATCATGCTAAATGAAATAAGCCAGGCTCAGAAGGACAAAGGTTGAATGTTTCCCCTCATGTGGAAACTAGACCTAAAAGATAACTATATATATGAATACATATATGACTATATAGATAGACAGACAGAGGGAGAGGGAGAGAACATGATTGTGATAGCGGGTCTGAGGGGACTATGGGAAGGCAGGAGAAGAAAAGAGAATGATGAGGCTGAATAATATCAAAATACATTGCACCTGTGTATGAAGATACAGTATAATAACATGTACTGAAAGCTGTTGAACGATAGGGGAACAGGGCAAAAGAGAAAGAATAAGTAATAGAGTGGATTAATCTGATTAAAGTATTATATGTGCATGTATGAAATACTGATGTGAAACTCCCTTGAACAATCAATATACACTTAAGAAAATGAAGGACTGGAAGGTAAAACAGGTCCTGTCTGGGGTGTTGTTACCAGTGGGAAGGTGGAGGGTAAGCATGTATAAAAACAGAACAATGATACCTGTTGAAATTGTTCTTAGAAGGGGAGTGGGGATGCAGGAGAATGATGGAGAGGTTGAATCAAATTAAGATACACTGTGAGCACATATGTTAATGTCACAATGAAACCCTCTGTATAACTAATATATGTTGATAAAAATATTTTAAAAGATTTCAAATAAATAATCTAATTTTGTAACTCAAAGAGTTAGAAAAGCAAGAGCCAAAATTAGTAGAAGGAAAAGATAAGATACATATGAGAGAGAAAACAAAATAAAATCAGAGATAAAAAAGGAGACATTACAATTAATACCACAGTAAGTTCATCAGGGGCTAATATGACTAACTATATGCCAACAAATTGGAAAAACTAGTAGAAATGGATAAATTTCTGGACACATATATCCTACCAAAATTGAACCATGAGGGTACAGAAAACTTGGGTAGATGAGAACCATGTAACGAGATTGAATCAGTAGTAAGTTTCCCAACAAAGAAAAACCTAGGACTAGATGAATAGTTTCACTGATGATTTTTAGAAAACTTTTAAAGAATTATCAAAGTAGTCCAAAGTACTGAAATGGAGCCAATCCTTCCAAACTCATTCTATTAAAACTACCATTACCCTGACACCAAAACTACAAAAGGACATAACAATAAACTACAGATTAATATTCTTTAAAAACTTTGATATAAAAACTCTCAACGAAATACTAGCAAATCAAATAAAACAGCATATCAAAAAGATTCTATACCATAACCAAGTGGAATTTATTCAAGGGATGCAAGGAGAGTTCAAACTATGCAAATCAACAAACATAATATATCACAACAATAGAAAGATAAAAACCTTATCCTTCAATAAATAAAAATCATTTGATAAAACTAGCCATCCCTTTGTGATAAAACCCTCAAAAATCAGGAATACAAGGAATGTACAGCAACACCATGTATTATAAACCCACAGCCTACAAGACACTGAATAGAGAAAAGCTGAAATCATTTTCTTTAAATAAGACAAAGATGTTCACTTTCACCACTATTATTCACTATAGTATTGGAAGTGTTAGCCCAAGCAAGAAGATTGAAGAAAGAAAAAAGGACATTCAAACTGAAAAGGAGGAGGTCAAATTATTTTGTAGAACATTTTATAGCAAAACCTAAAGACTACCAGAAAAAAACTGTTAGAAATGATAAACTCACTAAAGTTGCAGAATACAAAATCAGCACACAAAAGTCAGTAGCTTTTTTATATGCCAATAATGAAACTACTAAGAATAAAATCAGGGAAAGCAATTCTATTCACCATACTTATAAAAAAAAAAACACTTGAAATAAATCTAACCAAAGTGAATAGTCTCTACAAAGAAAATTACAAAACCCTGATGAAAGAAAATGAAGAGGACACAGACACACATACACACACTTACAAAAGAAAGACAGCCCATGTCTATAGATCAGAAAAATTAATATTGTTAAATGCTCATACTTTCCAATGTAGTATCTATCTAAATACCAAAGACATCCTTCACAGAAATAGAGAAAGTAATCCTATAATGTGTAGGGAACCACAAAAGGCCACAAATAGCCACAGAAATTCTGAGCAAAAGAATAAAGCTGGAGGAACCTGACTTCAAAACATGCAACAAAACTATAGTAACCAAAGCAGCGTGGTACTGGAATAAAAATGGTAACACAGATGAAGACAACAGAAAAGAGAACCCAGAAATAAACCTACATGTTTATAGCTAACTGATTTTTTACAAGGACAGCAAGAACATACACAGGAGAAAGGAAACTTCCTTCAAAAAATGGTGCTGTATCTGGGAATAGTGGCTACCACTTATAATCCCAGCTACTTCGGAAGCACATAATTTCTGAAGGATCTAAGCTATACTAGTACCTCTGATACAAGTATCACGATTTTCAAACATGATGTAATTAGAAGAATTATGTATGTCTGATGAAGAATTAAGAATTTTTAGGTGAAACAAAAGCTTAGTAATTGCCTAGAATTGGTCTATGAATAAATGCTTATATCTGTAAATGGTTAAATCTTTAGGTAGATCAACCCAATCTTTTTATTTTAAAAAATACTGCCCCTTTAGACAGGCACTAGATGTAACTTGCTCTTATAATAATACCATTTCTCTGCTGTCATATCTGACAGTGTAATGGACATCAAATAAAAAAGAATTTAGCAGCAGTCATTAAATAACTTTTAAGTGTAACCATCTTTTTTTTTTCCTTACAGCTATTTCAAGCCTCTGGGTCAGAGCCATCCCTGATTGCTATAAAGCAATTTCTGTTACAAAAAATTTTTTGACTATTTACCAGGGTCTTAAAAGGTACATTATCATCATTGCCTCTCACTTCAGTCTTACATCATATCCTACTTCTCTTTTCCTCCAACCATTCTAAATGTGGCAGCTCCTCTAGCTTGATTCCTCTTCCTGGAAAAATCTACCCTGGACTTCTGGATAGTTTACTTTTGGTCATCAGTCAGACTTTGGCTTAATTTACCTCCTCAGATATTTGTTCTCTAACAATCACTCCCTTTCATTCTTTTTTACTTTTCAGCATGCAGTAGCAGAAGCCATCATTCAATTACACTTCCTATATTTAGAGATCTGAAAGACACATCCTCACAACTGTCAAAGCAAGCAAAGTTAATGCTGGTACTACTGGAAACCAAAGGATGGAAAACATACTTTGAGAATCACTGGCCTACACGATCTCCTTCCTCCGTATCTAACTGACATCCTTTCAGTCCCTCCATTCCTGGCCTCCATGCTGTTCCCATTTCCTTACTTCCTTCTGGCATTTGCTTGAATATCATTGACTTTGTCAATGAGCTCTTTCCTCATTACCCTATCTAAAATTGCCACAATTCCACTTCCCGTATGCTACTGATCCTTCCTGCTCTCCATCTTCTTCTACAGCACTAATTATCATGTAGCAAATAAATTTATTTCATGTTTACATATTAGTTATTATCTGTTTCTCACTACTAGAATATAACTTCCAAGGGAGCAGAGACTTGTTTTCTTCAGTAATATATTCTAAGTGAAAACAACTTAGATCTTGAAAAGTCCCATGTATTAAAGGGTTCATCTTTGAGGTGGCACTATAGAGAAATGTTGGGAGGTCTTTAGATCATTAGAGGCATGTTCTCAAAGGGGGATTGTGGACCACAACCTTCTTTGTCTTCTCCTTTGCTTCCTGGCTATGAAGTGAGCAGGTTTTTCTCTACACACATATTCTTGCAATGATGCACTGTCTCACCACAGGCCCAAAGCAACAGGGCCAACTGATTATGAGGGAAAATAAGCCTTGTCTCCTCCTACACTGTTTATATCAGGTATTTGTTACAGTGACAGAAAGCTGACTACTACATCAAGTACCTAGAACAGTGCCTGGAAAATAGAAAGTGCTCAAAAAATAAATTATGTATGTATTCCTATAGTTCTAGGGAGCAGAAATGGAAACGGTTAAAATAAAAGCCATGTTCACCATTTATCTTTCATTGCAATAAAAATTTACTTTAAAAGAGTTTCAGAAAGAAATTCACTGCAGTTCTATTAGGTAAAAGAAATATGAATGAAATAGATTTCAATTGAATATTTTTCCTATAATCAGAACAGCAAAAGAAATACAGAAATACAGCTGAACAGAAACTTTGAAAAATTATATACTTACATTCCTGATACTAATGACACTTTGAACACATGCTGAGCAGTGGAAGATGGATTGCCTAAAGCCACATTAAGAGCTCTGTCGATACTGAATGCCATCTGAGAAAGATAGCTTTCTGGCTGCTGTCCATAGCCATCATATGGCACATAGAGGTAAGGAAAGATGCCATGTAGATGAAGACATGTCTTCTGACCTAAAATGTAACATATTAGATAGTTTAGTCTTGAGAAGCATTTAGACAATATAAAACTCATAGTGCAAGACATTTAAATATTCAAATGGCAATACAGCTTATCCAAAATAAGATTAGAAGAAAATTAACCCATAAAATCACCTGTATTAATTACATTTTACAACAGAACATTTGGAAGAATTTTGTAAACATAATCACTGTAGTATATAATTGAAATACTGTGAAAATGTATTTGACCACTTTACTCTTACAAAACTAGTTTTATATACCTCACTGAATCAACTCGTAAGACCACATAGCACAGTGTTATAAAGCTTACAAAATTCACTGAAAGCATACTAAGTAAATCAGTGAATGCCTGACTTTGCCTTAATGTTTTCAAACAAGAGACTTCCCTAAGACAGAGATAACTCTAGAAGAAGGAATAGGGTAAAAGGAATTCCAGAGTGTGGAATTTTGCTATTGGGGGTGGGAAAAAGGGCAAAAATAAAATTTTGCTATTATAATAAACAAACAAACAAAACCACTGCAGACCAACAATAATGTAATGGACTGCTGGATATCTAAATTTCCTATTTGGTAGAATGGGATAGAGGGAGACACAAGAGGAGGGAAGAAAAAGAACAAAACAGTCATGCATACTTTTGAGGAAGCCAGTATATCAGTCAAGGTGTAAAAAGGGCAAACAGTGCTGACTTGCTAACACACAACGTGGCACAGCCAAGATAAAGAAAGTAATATGAGCCAAACTTCACAAAAGAATTGCCACAGAAACAGTAATGTATCCGTGATAAAGTTAAGTAACAACAACGGCAACAAAAAGCAGATACCATCATTACTCTCCTAAATCTGCAGGGCTATAAGGAAGTGGTTCCCACGATCTTCAGAGTATCGTCCCTAGTTTCCCTAGGGCACATGCCATTTGTTTCACTGAAATTGAGAGAAGAACAGTGATGGAAGATCATACCCACTGTACTCATGCTGTCATTCACTACTACTAGGTTATTCCTCTCTGCACAATGTTCAGACTTCTTCCAATCCCTTATCTCTTTTCACTCTGTTCACTGGGCCATTTCTTTTGGTAGCAAAGTAATTATCTGACTGATTACTATTTTCCATTTATGACCTAGAATGATTTGTATAAAAATATGGAAAAGAGGTCTATATTCTGTTGATATTTTGTGTTTATACTTCTTAAAAAGAATCATAAACCTGTCTTATTTTTAAGATATAGTTATAAACAATTAACAAATAAATCCGGAAGATCAGTCATGTAATTTGTAAACTCTAGACTTCAATATTTTATAACCAATTTTTTAATTTCTTTATTGTGATGCTGGAGGTGGAATGTAGGGCTTTACGTTTGCTAGGCAAGCCCTTTACTACTGAACTGCAGTATTCTAATTTGAACTGTCCACTGTTTATTTTTGGAGAATTACAAATTGTGCTATTACACCAAATTCAATCTCCCTCCCTTCATTCCTTTCTTGTGGTACTGGGAAATGGTCTTTGCACATGCTAAGCAAGCATTCTACCACTTAAGCTATTTATTTCCCCTAGACCTCAATTTCTAAAAAAATTCAGTTATAAGCAAATTCTTTGGCTATTTCATTTCTAAATAAAATGAAGAATTGTTTCCTAAATATTGTAGTTTCAAGATTCTTCAAATCAAGAAAAATTCTAATTATAATGATGCGTCTCAAGAAAATATATTTAATTAATTTACTAAGAATTTACTTAAATGGTTTTAAAATATCTCATGAATAGTGGTTATAAACATTACTCTAGGCTGGGGACATGGCTGAAGTGGTAGAGTACCTGCTTAGCAAGCACAAGACCTGGAGTTCAAACCCCAATACTGAAAAAATAAAGTAAGTAATTAACTTTAAAAAAGTGTTACCCTATTAAACATAAGCCACAGTTTGATTAAGACCTGCCAGCATGTTAAACTAGACAGTGAGGGATGTGGGGAGAGAGAAGTATTTACTCTTAAGTTGACAAATTCAAGACCAGTGATTTACAGAATTAGTAGTATAATAATATTTTATAAGGTGTGTTGCTTATAGTATAAACATCATAAGATGACGGTTTTATGGTCAATATGTTAGTTATAGAATTTTGGATATATTTTGTTTTACAAGATAAAAATTATCTTGTTTTTTTTTTGCTCCTTTATGAGCAACGTAAAAATATCTTAAAAAATAAGGGTACCCCACTTTTCACACTTCCTATGAAGTAGGAGTCAAGAGACATTATCTTTCTATTCATAAGCTTTGGAGTTACAAAATTTTGGATTGTATGATTTAGGAAAAGGAAATTATTTATTCAGTAAGCACAAGGCTAAGTGCTTTATATCTATTTCTAAAACTTAAAACAACTTTGCAAGCATTACAGAAGTTAACTTACTCAAAATCACATGGCTTTTAACTAACTGAACAAGGATTTAAAAATAGATCAGCAAAATCTAAAACCAATGCCTTTTCTGTTTAACAATGATAGAATGCTTGTTCAATTTTTAAAAAGTTAGTGTTGGCTTCCTTAATCCTTAGTTTCTCAGTTTTTACTTTGTATTATAAATTGCATGTATTCTTATTTGACTTTCCAATTTGATGGCAAATTCTTTGGGAGCTGATAAACTGTGTGTTTGAGTGAACATAATTCCCCAGAACTCAGCAGAAAACATACTATATGTGTTTAATAAATATTATTTAATAAGTGAAAGAATACACAACAAACTAGAATAATTGCACAAAGAGAAAGGGATGAAATAAAAGTTTCTGAACATGTGAAGAAACAAATACAGGAAAACAGGAGGACATAGGTATATGGGTTTGGAAAGTCCCCAGCTTATTGCACTTTGCTACTCTGAATGACCTGAAGTCCCATTCAAAGCTGTAATACAGCAACACAGACATACCTCTCTCTGGTTCTCCTGCAGCTAGGGATGACTCAATGTCTTACTCACTACCCTTCCTCAAGAACAACCTCCTAAAGAACCACCAAATATGAATATGTGGCATACTACTAACATTTCTAATACAGAGTAAGTATCATAGAAAAGGAAATGATGAGAAAGATAAAATAAGAAACTCAAAAGTTAAACTAAGAGACATGTATAAAATGAGTTAATTTGTTTACTATAAATTTTGCAATTCTATAATAGCACTGCTTTATCTTGATAAGATACAGACCATTTGTATTTCCCTACAACTGCTCTACCTCATAAATGTATAGGGCCACAGAGCTGTAAAGCCTTTTAGAGATAAACTAGTCTACTCCAACACCATGAATTAGAATTAGTTCCAGCTGTGAAAGTACCCTAAAGTCAGTGAGAAATCACCCTAAATTGGGAAGTTTCTACCATAAAAGAAGTCTAGGAGCAGGTAGTTGGACTTTGGACCTAACTTTTTTAACATCTCCTCATGGCTTAGTTAGGAACTTTGGAGCTGGAGTGTGGTTCAAGCAGTATAGTACCTGCTTAATAAGTGCTAGGCCCTGAGTTTAAGCCACAATACCACCTACCTCCCCAAAAAAAGTTTCCATGAAAACATCCTTAAAAGAATCCTATATGTGTAATTCCTTCAAGTATAGCAGGAAAGCCTCTGGACTGAAGTCAAAGTGTTATCGGATCTAATGCTATCTGTTGATAAGAATTAAATTATAGGATACTCTGCAGGTGTCCTGCCATTTGAACTGGCAGAAGAAACAATCAGGTCAATTGGGATTCTTAAATCTGAGGAACAAAAAGAAAGGAGAAAGAAAATCAATGAACAGAGATATCTGGAATGCCATCAAACATACCAATATATGCATAATGTTAGTCCCAGGAGTGAAAGAGGGAGGAAGAATATTTGAAGAAGTAATGGCCAAAAATCCTCCAAATTATCGCAAAGCTCAACAAACTCAAAGTAAGATAAACTCAAAGAAATCCATACTGTATCATAGTCAAGCTGTCAAAACACAAAGAGAAAAATTGAAAGCAGCAAAAGGCAATTATCATATACAAAATTTCCTCAAGATTTGTAGATGACTTCTCATCAGAAACCATGAAGGCCAAAAGGCAGTGAGATTACACAGAGTAATGAAAGCAAAATGCAATCAACAAAAAAATCCCATATTTAGCAAAACTATCATTTAAGAACAAAAGTGAGCCAGATGAAGTGGGGAAAAGAAATTAAGATACTCTTATATAAGTAAAATGAGAAAATTCATCACCTGCAGACTTGCTGTACCATTTTTCAAAAATACTAAAGGGTATTTTATTTCAGCTGAAATGAAAGGACAATAGACAGTAACTCAAATCCACACAAATAAAGAGGAATGATAAATATGAAAAAAGACAACGCAAATGTATTTTATTTATAACTCTTTCTTCTCCTATTTCATTTAAAAGATAGGTACATAAAGCCATTTTATAAAATCATGTTAATGGGCTTATAAAGTAGAAAGATGTACTTTGATGATAACAGCACAGAGAAAGGTAAGGAAATGAATTATATTGGAGTGGGGCTTTTTGAAGTACTGGGTTGAACCACAGAGTGTGGCACTTGCTAGGCAGTTACTCCACCAACCGAAACTATGCCCCCCAGACCCTGGAGCAGTCTTGTACACGCTAAAATTAGTTGGATTAATACAATATTAGGACTACTTAAGATGGAGTTTTGAACGCCTTCAGATCAACCGATGTGAAGAAAATAACCCTTTAAAAAATTGAGTAAGAGCCACGTGCTGTTGGCTCAGCCTGTAATAGCTACTCAGGAGGCAGAGATCAGGAGGATGGTGGTTCGAAAGCCAACCCAGCAAAATAGTTCATGAGACTGTATCTTGAAAAACCCATCACAAAAAGGTCTGGGAGTGGCTCAAAGGTGTAGGCCTTGAGTTCAAGCCTCTAGTACCACAAAAAAAAAAAATTGGAGTAAGGAATTAAAATAGTTATACTAGAAAAATATCTAAATTTAAAGTTAAAAGAGACAGTTAAGGAAGAAGAAATAAAAGACATAGTTAGAGGAACAATAGCTAAAATGGCAGATAAAGAACTAC